AAAAAAAAAAAAAAAAAAAAAAAAAAACTTTAGACATTAGCTCCAAGCCAAATATGCAACTTGGCAGATAAAGCACGACCGGAGAATAGCAATCCTTGACCCTGAAGCTGTGCGGAAAAGGAGCAGTGGAGCGGCAAACTTGCAAAACTGCGAAGCGCCCAAGCGACCGGATAGTGCATCCCGAAGGGTGAGAGGTGCCCCCGGCGCGGACACGGATAAGGCTCGTTGCCTTTTCGGAAGCAAAATTCTTCACCACGAAAAAAGGCATAAAATAAACCTTTGCACATATAGCCGCACTACATAGGTAACAGCGCCAAGAGGGGACATAAGGCCAACTCGCGGTGAACGCCCAGTGCACGTATCTCCCCCACGAGCAGGTACATAAACAAAAAAAAGGAATGCCTTTTATCATGTCATATTATTTTTTAAAAACAAAAAGAAAGAATAATAATCTGCACACACATGTGTACAGAATTGCACATCTGACATAGTGCACTTGTTTTTGTGCTCCTCAAAAGTGGGGGAAAAAAAAAAAAAGAAAAATACAACGGACAGGTGGACTAAATTCTCACGTAACCCTACCAACTGCGTGCTCGTTTTTGTATTCGACTTTCCATCCCGCCCCCCACACAAAGTGACATGACCCAGTGTGAGCATTCCCCCTCTGCCAGCTAATGAATAAAGATGACATAGACCAATTAAATGCATGCCCCCCCGATGGAGGAGGGGAAAATAAAAATGAAGAAACGTATGAGAATGAGCTCAGCGAAAGGGAAAAGTGCGTTCCTATTTTGGACGCGTCTTCTCCCAGGAGCAGTCATAACCAAGTAGGGGGCAGTAATGAAACGGATAATCTGCCGGAAATAAACGATTCCCCTAAGGGGGAATCTGCAATATGTACTTTAGGCGAGGTGGTCCAGGCGGCAAGCGGTGAACATTTACAAAAACCAAATAACGCAGAGAAGGCAGAAAAGGCAGAAAACCCCGCGGGCATGGACAACATAGATGACACCTTGAAGCGTGACGAGGCAATACAGGGCGCCCCCCACCCAGCGGAAGCAATGGAAGGTGCTGCCCTCAACTGCAGCATAAACACCGTTGCAACGGCTAACAGTAGGGAAAATGACACGACGGAAAGTCCCCCAACGGAGACCCCAAATTCTTCCAATCCCATCAGCTGCATTAGCACAACGCATAATCATAACAGAGATGCGTGTGTACAAATGGTAGAGCAGGCGTTAGAGTGCATTCCTGCCATAAGCGAAGAAAAGGAAGCAAATTTTGCACCCGAGATAAATGTAGAGGCAAAAAGGGAGGAAGAGAATTGGTTAAATCCTTCCAATTCATGTATCACAGTGGCTTGCAGTGAGGAGTTACCTGCAGTTGGGGAGTTGCCTGCTGTTGGGCATGGCACGGGGGACGTAGATGATGCCAGTTGTGTGGTTGGTGCGATACAGAATGAGGTCGCCAATAACACCGTTAAGCGGGGAGACCAGCTGCTCTCCCTCACACATACAGTAAGCAGTTTCCAAGCCGAACTGCTGAAAAAGAACAAAGACACATTCGAACAAGTTAAAAAAAAGGGCTACCTCTTTGTGCTAGCCATCCAGCAATCATTTATGAACAAAACGGAAAAGGTCCTTTGCACCAGGTGCAAGCCCCAACTGGCTTCCCTGCATGGGGCCCATGAACTCTTCCAAGTAATACTAAAACTTCAAGTAGAAAAAGAAACCAGCGAATTGTACTTGGCTCATTTGTTGGACAAGCTGAAGAGGGACGTGGGCAGAGCCAACCAGACGGCGCAACAGACGGTGCAGCAGATGACTGAGCAGGTGACGCAGCAACTGACCCACCAAATGCAGGAAGCACAACTCAAAATAAACAACCTAAGAAAAGACAACACAACCCTTGTGGATACCATTCAAAAGTGGGAGGAGCATTTTCACCAAATGAAAAATGAACAGGAAATCATCCACGCCAGGGTTAAAATCAGTGTCCATACAAGTTTCCTCAATTTTACGGAGTTCATATTTCATATCCTCCTAAAGGTTCATTCTGCCCTTTGCCAGAAGAGTGACAAATTGGCCTTCCTAATCAACCGGTTGAAGACTATTGGACTTGACTGGAGAGCCTCCCAGGTGGCGGAAGGGAAACGGCGGAGGAGGGGGAAGGAACCTCGTGGGGAGACACTCCGCAGTGATGAAAAAATGCGTAGAGAGCAAAAAAAGGAAAAGAAAAAAAGGAAAAAAAGATTTGTGGGGAGAAGCAAAACTGACAGTAGGAGTGAAGAATGCATGTCGTCTCTGCAAGGGAGTAGCCCCCCGCGCAGTCACAGCTGCAGCTTGTCCAAATTGGGTAACCACCACTCGTGTAGTAGCTCCTCGTGTAGTAGCTCCTCGCGTGGATCCAACTCCAGTATGTGTGTGTCGAACGAGTTGTGTCTGTCCGACCTGACGCATATGAACACAAACGGGGTTACCACCCGAGGGGGAAAAAAGAAGGGACGCAGAAAAGGGAAGCAACTGCGAGTGAGGGCAGGTGAATCCAAGGATGGAAAAAATAGAGCGCGCTCGGTGGACACCGCGGGGAAGGTGCCCCCAAATAAGGGGAAAAAGAAACCACGCCACAGGAATAAGCTGCGCGAGCGACGCGACGACCAGCATCAGCCAAAGCTATATAGCCGGTATAGGAGATACAAAAGGCTCTACGCTGAAGAGCTGCAAAAAAACAAAACGTTGCATTTTCTCCTCACGAACAAGGTAAAACTGGCGCAGCCTCTAAGCTGTCTCAAGTGTCCATTGCACACACATAGCCTCCTCTGCAATGTCACAGGAGCAGTTGTACGTAATGCACACCTAACGCGAATTATTGCTGATCCATTCCCGCAGGACGAAGAAATTGCCCAAGTTCGAAGTGCACTGAAGGAGGAAATGAACAGCAGACTTCTCTTCCACGAGCAGGAAGAGAAAAATAAGTTGAAAGAAATAAACGAGCTGAAGGGGTTGCTACAAAAGGAACAAATGACCAACCAGAAATTAACCAACAAAAATGAAGAGATGGAAGAGCTAAATAAAAAATTAAAAAAAAAATTAGACATGCATGAATACACAGAAAAAGAATTAAACAATAAGCTGTGCGAATTAAATAAGGCACTTACCAAGGACAGGAAAAGGAACAAGCGCTTGGTTGTTCAAAATGAAAAAATGAAAAACGGTCTTCTTCAATATAACCATGGGGTGAACTTACTGGACAGGGGGGGGAGGTATCGTCGTAATGGGAAGCGGTGTGTCAATGTTTCTCCTGCGGAGTGTGTAGATGGAGAGGTGAGTAGTGAAGACGATAGCAGCGTTGAAAATGAAGAAGACAGCAACGTGGGTAGCGAATTGTACAGTGACGGGAGGGAATATTTGTATGAGGACGAAATGTATACCCTTCTCGGCAAGGTGAAAAATTTCCCACATCACACTACGCAGCAGCAACGGACGAAATTGATGCAGAAAGGAAAAATTAACAAAGTGCATGGCCAGCCATATAACAACAGGGGAAGGGACGCATATGGAAAGCACTACGAACAACATGAATATAAACATGTTAAGTTAAACTCCTGTGGCTTTAGTGATAACTCCGTGGATGTTAGGATGCCGAGGAGCAGGCGCCTCCCACGGGGTGGCGGCACCAAAGGGAAGATTACCGTCCGTGAAAATGGCAAAGGGCAGAAAAGTGCACACCACAACACGAAGGACGGAGAGCGGCAGTGTGCCCCCGCAAAGAGGGAAGACGAATGCACACACATGGATTATCAAATCCGAAGAGACCTGGAAAATTTTGACGAGACGAAATACAAGAAAATTATAAGTGACATTACTAAAGAAGAAAAAGTAATTGAAAAAATAAAAGAGGATGATTTGTATTCTATATTTATGCAGAACTGGGAGGAATCTCACATGGGATTAGAGGAGGGGACAAACAACGACCCCCTCTCATGGTCAGGGTCCTTCATGCACCATCTGAATAGAAGCGTTCTTTGTGCCAATCAGGGGGAAGACACCCTAATGGGACATCATGGAGGGAAGGAAAATGCCACATTAAATTATAACCCCAAGTGTGCAGGGAAAATGCATGTGTTCCCCGTGGAAGAGATGCAAATTGGTCATGGAGCAGATCTATCGAGGAAGGTGGAGGAGAAATCCCATGAGGGGGAAGGAAACAACAGGATGGATACTTCAAAAGGGAAGAATGAACATGTTGGAAAAGGCCTTGGTGGTGCAATGGATGGGTCATTTAATTGGGACGTCCAGCACGGCAACGCTAGCAGTGAGCACTACGAAACAAATCACATGGATGGAAGCGAAACAAATCGACCTACCAATACCCCCCAGGGAGAGGCCATCAATGAGGAAATTTTAAATAACTACGAAAAGTATAAAAAGAACAAGGACAAATTCGTGCATCTGACCTTACGCAAAAAGGTAACGCATGTGGGGAATGAACATACACCCACAGGTGGAGTAGAAGCAGGATGGAAAAACCAAAACACATCCCTAGCAAATGTATTAAACAAGAACTCAAAAAGGGACAGTAAAAATTGTTCCCCTCTTGATGCCGAGGAAGAAGAAGCATTCGAAATGGACAAGAGTTATGCCCCTTTTCCAAACGAACAAAATGGAAATGCCCTCCATAAAGATAGGGGCATGGGAGAGAGCATGATGATGGGTTATACATACGGTAATGACAACCATAGGGGTATAACCCTACACAGCAATGTACAGGATAGGAGTCACATTGAAGCAACTTCATATGACAACACAGATGCGCGCTTCTTTCAAACGTCCGAGAAAAGGGGGGACATAAGGAAGGGCAATGTGGTAGGTGAACAGGATGACCAACGGGGGGCACATATGCCACATGGGGAAGGCGAAAGAATGACCCCACGTGGAATACCACCTAACCCACGCACAAACCAATTGTGTCTACAGCATATGAGCAACAATGGGTTGAGTACAAGTGGTACAAATTATCCTCCTGTCGGTGGGGAAAAAAGTCGGGAAAAACAAATAATAACAAAATGTGAAGATATGAGTGCCCTGACTAATGAAGGACAAAATGGGGACAGCCACGTGGGGAAGGTCGCCGCCTACTGCGCGTATTCCTTGAGCATGTTGATGGGTGCCAAACAGAGGGACAAGAGTGGGTGTAAACTAATCCCCCTGGATGCACCGAACCCGGGGTCTGCCTTATATGGGGGCACCCATGTGGAAAAGGTCGACATGAACGCACAGAAGTTATGTCCCCCCGTGCCCAACGAGGAGCAGTCACGTAGCGCAGCAAATGATATACTAAATCACGGCCATCAGGAAGGGGGCCATCATCCTTGGGAGAATAAAAACAGGGCGGGTAATTCCTTCCCCAGGAATGAAGTCCTGAATGAAGCCATGAATGCAGCATTGGGCCCTTGTGAAACAGGCGCATTTGTGCCAAAAAGGGACCCCTGCGAAAGCGCTCCACAGAGGAAAAGTGTCGGGGACAGGGGCGTCTTGAGTAGGTTGCTCAGGAAGAAGTAGTCCCGTCGCTCATTGAGATTATTCAATTCTGTGCCTATCGTTCGCTCGTTGTTTTTTTTTTTTTTTTTTTTTTTTTTTTTTTTTTTTTTTTTTGATCTTTTTTTTTTTGTGCTCCCACGAGCAGGTTACTGGATATCATCCCTGGCAGGGTGTGCAGTTTGCACCATTTGCGCGTCGCATTGGAATTGTCTGGCGGACGTCTCGCATTGGACAGTTTTATACTTTTATGGCTTTACATTTTTATGGCTTTATATTTTTATGCCTTTACATTTTTATGCATTCATAATTTAACCATTTGATAATTTTGTTCAACGCCCTCCTTTTGAAGAAACATTTTGTACAATGGACCATACCGGGTCATGTCTCCCGATGGGCAGCCTCTCTGTGCAGGGGCGCGGGATGATCCATACCATTATTGAGAGTAGAGCCCCCTCATAGGTGTAACTGAAGTTGGTTTACCCCTCCTATGTGCACAAATGAATGAGTTAAAAAGAATGCGGGAGGTGTAAAGAGGTGTGGCCTCCATCTCCGCGCACCTGTGCTGGGTTTCCTCTTTCCCTTCAGTCATTCAAGGGAAGGCAAAATTAGACGACTGCTATACATGCGTGTCTAGGGGGACAAAAAGTACAAAAACAGTTTTGTTAACAAATGGCAAAAAAGTTGGGTGCGCATGGCGGCAAACAAGTACCTGAACAGGTATCCCATTTGTAGCCCCCTTGTTATATATACAGAAATAATTAGGCGGAACTTAAAGAAAATTGGCGGCAATCAGTGAGGGAAGGGGGGCACAAGTGATGAGGGGGAAAGGGCGTCGCCGCGCGCAGGGAGGGAGACACAAAACAAAAATTAGGAAAAAAAGAAATGGGGAGAATAAAAAAAAAAAAAAAATAACAAATAAAAATAAAACAGCAAGAAAAGGGAGAGATGGACAGATATACGTTTGACACACACACAGTGCACACAAAAAAAAAATATTCCCTAAGAATGCTTAGAAATGAGGACTTTAAATTCTTCGTACAGATCAGAGTTCGCCTCGCCAAATATAGCTTGCGCTTTTTTCAACGTCTCCTCTCTCTTCTGTTGGTGGTTATTCAACTTTTTAATATTGGATAGGAACTGGTTAAACTGCTCGTATGTCAGTCTGCTTCTTGCGTTGCGGAAGAAGGCCCTGCCGTCTGTGTTTTTCTCGCCGGCGGTTCTGCAAAAGGGAGCAATCATAAATGGGGGAGACGTGATTGGAGTTTTACTGCTGGACCCACGGAGGAGAGACACAGCATTAGGGGGATGTATACGTGGAGTGCACACAATGGCTCCTGTTCAATTAGCGTCCAGTCCATGTGGTAACGAATGCGAGGTTGGAGGGGGAGAGACAGCCAGAACTTCACCCCTTCTCCAGCGCGAATGTGTGTAACTGCTTCGTTCATTCTGTACGATGCGACACCGTTGCACTGCCTCCAGTTCTTAGCACCTCCCCTCAAGGTTGTTACCCTGCTGCCAGGTAGGGCGAGTTGAAATTCCCGTTGATGATGTTGTGCGCATCCGAATTAACAATTTTGTTAATTAGGGTTTGGCATGAGTCCTCATTGCCATTGATCTCGAGCATCGTTCTCGGCGCGGTCGTGTGTAGCATGTCGTCCGCGGAATAGTACTGCAAGTGGGCGGCGAAAGAAAAGCGTGGAGGGAAGAATCGTACCTCTCGTGGGGATGCCCCCACCCTTCTCCCAATATGCTCACAGCAAACGTTTAGTTGATGCATACAGTCAAAATGTGCATTTGTGCAAAATGCACAAGTGTACAAAATTTATCTTTCAAGTTACTTTATGTGCATCCTCCACTTCATGTTCCTCCTGGATAGAATTGAGGACGGCCTTTTTAAGATTCTCCAGTCGGTCTATGTCCCTATTCAGCTGTGAAAAAAAAAAAAAAAAAAAAAAATACACTTGTCAATACTGTTCCAGCTAGCCAAAAAATTATTGCTGCAATTTCGGCACTTGCGCTTGTCAAAAAAAAAAAAAAAAAAAAAAAAAAAGCAAATCTTCTTGCCACATTGTAATACAATTGCAACGTTTTTATTTGTAGTGTAATCACGCTGAATGGCTAATTGCCAAACGGTGTGTGTGCCTTTTCCACTTCATGTACAATAGTGTCTGTGTTTAAATTCCCCTGATTGAATATTCCCCCGGATAGCAATTCATCCTCGTACAAACGCATCACGGGGACAACATACACATATGGGCACACATGTCGAGCCTTATATGCAACTGTTTATCCCTGTTAGCAGCAGAACGTGTAATGTCTCGCCCCCATTTTCTTACCTTCTTTATGGTTGCTATTAACTGCTTGTTTTCGTCCGCCAGCTGGTTTCCTCTCTGTGTGGATTCAATTAACTGAACTTCCAGGTTGCTATATTTTTTTTGTATTGACGAGAGCTGCAGGGTGTGTGCGTGAACGCGATAAAACGGGGGCAAATTAACGGATGCTGGGTCTGTTTACTTATGGGGGTAGACATGCGCATAAGCAATACTATGAAAAACTAATACAACATGAAGGATGCAGAAATAACTTGTTCAAGCTTTTCCGTCAGCTGTCCCTTGAGAGATCTGATTTCTGCCTCCTGGGACGTAACCCTAGTCTTGTAAGCGTTGGTGACAATTTTGAATCCTAAGGCGAGTTGTTCTATTGGGGGGGATGCAGCGGAAACAGGGAAGCAGGAAAAGGGGAGAAGAAATTAAGAAAAAGGAAAAGGTAAAGATGAATGGATTATCTCTCTCCCCATTGGCCACGATTATAAAACCTTATTTGGGACCAATGGATGAGATGATGTTGTGCCCTAGGCTTATATACATATATGTAATCACCACACGCAAAATGAATGAAGGGGTTCTTAATTTATACGCGCGCTGCACATGAAGACACATAAGTGGTCACTCCGCAAAGCGAGTCAAACGATTATATGTGCTCTCCGCTCGCATCGTTTATGAAGCAAAATAAAAACGCCACAGGGGGATTTTCTAACCATCTGCATCTGAGGGCAGCCAACTTAGGTCTGTAGTCCCCGTGTTCGCCATGTTGGTGTAAATTCTTCTTGGACAATTTGAAGGGGGTAACGCAAAAGCGGGGAAAAAAAAAGAAGTAGTAACAAAAACGCTTCAAATATTCAGAGGCTGCAAAAAAGGGGAGGCAAGTATACATGTTGTAGAGGTGTTGTAGCGATGTTAGGGTGTCGTGTCCGTGTGCACGTGTATCTGCCTTTTTGCAACTGACGCGTGAAACAGTACCACTACACAGAGGGCTACAAAACTAAGGCAGCGAATGTCTGCAGTGTTGTGGGGCAAGGGCGACACCGGCACATGCACGTATGCATATACATCCGTGTACAGGTTCACAAATTTGGACCCCTTTATGATGAAGCGGAGTGCAAGCCTGAGGATAGCGTGCGCCGTTGTTTCTTTTTTTTTACACGCAAACACAGCACTATTGTGCAGAGGCGTGAAGAGGCTCACACGGAGGAAAAGGACAAAACGTGTGGAGTACGAAAAAAACACAAAAAAAAAAAAAAAAAAAAAAAAAGAAAAGAAAAAAATACAAGAAAATGTGGACTGCGAAACAAATGCGCTCATACCACAATTCGCGCCGCTATGCAAATGATTAATAGAATGAGTCGACAGGCGAAACAAAAAAAAGAAAAAACAAAAATAAAAATGAAATTAAAAATAACTGCATACGCAATACGTGAACAAAACATACGTTGTATTTGTTTAAAACGAAAAACGTTATGCTAAGGTGGCGCTGCGGAATGTGAAGAGCGGGCAGTTGTTGCTCTATGTAAATACGTGCCATACCGGGGTGTCCCCCCGTTTTCATGCGTATGTACAGCCGTATGCACAGCCGTATACACAGTCGTATGCACGGTCGTATGCACATACGCATGTACTTGCACGCCTATACCCCGATGGCCACGTAGAATTTAAAATGGAAAAAAAAATAGTAGACAGCATGCGGCGTACTCGAACGATATGAAGCCAAAACTGTGCCAATTGTAAAAAAGACAAAAAAAAAAACAAAAAAAATGTATATAAATCAGAAAAGCACAAAATTTGCACAGCAAAATACACGTAATTCTTGGAAGAGGCACGAACTGTCCAGGCAGAGTATGCGCGCGTTCGCGTGTAACATTAACATGTGCTAATTGAAACACATTTTTATGTGCACATATGCGTACTGCCCATTTGTACTCATATATATAATCTTCGCTGTATGCTTGGACACGTAGCATTAATTCAGGTCAAAACCTCCAGTTGTGCCTCTTCTTAACCCCTACATGTGATGTGTATGCTGGGGATGTGCCTCCGTCTGTACAAAAGGCGAAGCGATGAATTTTTAAAAGACTTCAAATAACGATCAGTCCATAGAATACCACAAACGCGTCTACTTCTTTTTTTTTTTTTTTCTCTTTTTATACCATTCGGGCAGCATACTGTGAGTGCACTTTGCATGCAGGAATGGGCACTATTTTCGGAGGGGGAAAAAAAAAAAAACAGCTATTCTGTGCATGTGAAAAAGGGGTAATTTGTTTGCGATTTTTTTTTTTATAAAGTGTAGCATACGGGTTTAGGGTTGGAAGAACAATCATTTGGGATGCTACTGCAACGCCTGCATGAAATCATGCTGTGGGGTAGGTGCCACCTTTTCTGCGCCCATTCGGTGTTGTCTTGCTGACCAGTGTACGAACGCCTAAAAAGGTACTTTTCCAATGGGGGCACTATAACCCTTCCCGCCTGCAGCATACATCTGACGGCATCACAAATGGGACAAAAAAAAAAAAAAAAAAAAAAAGAAAAGCCACGT